CAGGGCTTCGGGATCAAGAAAGATCTGCCTTCAGCATCTCAGTTGCACCTCAGGTTTCCTTACCTGTACAATTATGATAATACTGGACTTCTAGAGTTTTCATAAGGATTAAAATGCATAATGTCTGGCCCAGCAAATGAGCAATAAGTCATAGCCATTATCATTACCATCATCAATGTCATCATTGAGTAAAATGACTCAAAGACCCACTACCTAAGCAGTAGCCATCGTGGGATTTTTTTTTCCTACCTTTTTTCTATATTCGTAATTGTTAAAATTTGTTTTACATATTTGAAATATAAACTTGTATCCTGACTTTTTTTTAACCTTACAGTCTATCACGTGTCAACTATATTAAATACCAATTTTTTTATTGTTTTTTAGAGACAGGGTCTCACTGTCTTGCCCAGGTTGGAGTGCAGTGGCACAGTCATAGCTTACTACAGCCTTGAACTTCTGGGCTCAAGCAATCCTCCTATCTCTGCATCCTGAATAGCTGGGGCCACAGGCATACACCAACACACCTGTCTTATTTTTTATTTTGATAGATACAAAAATTTGGGTCTCACTAGGTTACCCAGGCTGGTCTCAAACTGCTGGCCTCAAGACATCCTCCTGCTTCAGCCTCCCAAAGCTCTGAGATTACAGGTGTGAGCCACTGCGCCCAGCCTCAATTTTTTTTTTAAACTAATTACATATCAAAATATTAGCAGTTTTTCTGGTAGGTATTCTGGACAATTTTCTTTATACTTTAATGAGTATGTATTTCTCTCAAAGAATAAGCTTTTTTATATATATATATATATACCCATAATACCTTCAAATACATTCTTAAGCACTTAAAGACTAACAGCAGTTATCTCTCAGTGGGATTATAAATGTTTTGGGGTTTTTTTGTACATTTTAGTATTTTCTGAAATTTTTTCAATAAGCATGTATTATATATGGTAAACAAAAGCACATTAATGCAGGCAAATTATTAATGTTATACATTTCACTGACTGCATATATCTTTTTTTATCAATGGTGAACATTGCAAATGATTGATACTGTTTTTCTTAGGAAGTGGCATTGCCACAAATGGTTTTTCCAGCACCAGCAGGGTCTGAGAGTGTCATCACCATACCCTCTTGCCAGCAATAAGAGATTTCACCTTTTAATAACGTGAGAGGGAAAAGTTGGGTGTTGGGTTCTTAAGATGCATTTCTTCCATTATGAGTGACAATTTTCTGAAAGGAACATAATCTCGTTTTCTAGCCGTATGAAGCATTTCTCCAACAAGACCCACTGTACCAGTCCTGGGATCTCCACGCCTGTGCCTTCTCCATGCTCTTTCTAGATCCTGATTCTCACCTCTGCCTGTGTAATAACCCTGTCATTTCTCCCTTATCCCAGTTCCATGTCTGTGACAAGCTTGGAGGCCGAGTTGCAAGCTAAGATCCAAGAGAGCCATCCTGAATTGCGACGCGTGTACTTTAATAAGGGACTGTAAAGCAAGGAGGAAACCTCTGCAGCTCATTCTGCCACTGCAAAGCTGGTGTAGCCATGCTGGTGAGAAAAATCCTGTTCAACCTGGGTTCTCCCAGTTACAGAAACCTTTTAAAGATCCACATTCGCCTTTTAGAATAAAGCTGCTACTTTAACAGAGCACCTGGCATGGGCCAAGTGCCTGATACTCCCTTACATTGAATCATGTTATGATTTATAGAAATACCCTTCCTTTAGCTTTTATAGTCATTGTTTTTCAAAGACAGTATACCAGCCATCACCCAGGGTTTTAAAAAAGTACCAATAGACATAGAATAGGTGCTCAGTGTATGGTCAGTAAATATTCTATTGATTATCAATCAATGAAAAGAGAATCTGTTTAAAATATTGAATTTTCATCTCACTCCCATTCCAAATCAAGAAGATCTCAGCAGTGAACTGGGAAAATACAAAAGCTCTGGGCTAATGTATAAAAACCTACCCCGAAATATTAAGGGCAGTTTGCTTCTAGTGTGGGGACTGTGCTGGCCCAATGAAGGTAACGAAGTTTTTGGATTTGGAGGGTGAAAACTCCTTCACACCCCTTCCAAAAGTCAGTCACGGACCACTGCAACATGCCTTCCTGCTGGATCATGATATACATTCAGATTGTGGGTGGATTGCCTTGGTTGACTTTTAATTTATTGTTTTATGTTCTTATAAAGATGTTAATCTTACCTTGCAGTTATTGACTTTATATTCAATTATTTACATCAAATAATGAAATTACTGAAATGTACAAATGTCAAATTTTGGAAGTATATTCAATACCAATGCTGTGTGAGTGGGCTGAATCTAGTTCATTGTTTTTTTTTTTTTTGGTAAGAAGTGAGACTACAGTTCCAGCTACCTACATGTCTTTTCTTGTCATCCTTATAGATCTCTTTGGCTTTCAGAAAGATACAGTGATAATGTGTATGAATCAGTCACAGTGAATTTTACTTGAATATTGTATGTTGCATTCCACTTCATTGGAAGATAATGAAATGTACCACTGTTTACATCATCTGTAGTGATTTCACAGATAATATATTTAATATAACAGATTATGTTTCAAGTCTGTAGATGTCGAACGTTGTAGACAGTCGGCCCTCTGTATCCATGAGCTCTACATCTGTGAATTCAGTCAAGTTTGGATGGGAAATATTTTTTAAAAAGATACAAAATATACATAATAATGAAAAATAATACAAATTTAAAAACCAATACAGTATAACAACTATTTACATAGTGCTTACATTGTATTAGGTGTTATAAGCAATCTAGAGATGATTTATCAAGTATACAGGAGGATGTGCCTAGGTTATATGCAAATACTGCGCCATTTTATATCAGGAACTTGAGCATCCGCAGATATTGGTATCGGAGGGCGGTCCTGGAACCAGCCACCCACGGATACTGAGGGGCGACGTTTCACGAAGTGTAGATCATTGTATTCAGAGATTGTAAGTGAAAAAATATATAGAAACTCTTTAGTTTTGGCAGATTTCTTTTCTGACAATGTGACCAGACTGAATTTCCTCATAAAGAAAAAATGGCGTGCCTTGTGTCTGTGTTTCTCTTTTCTCTGAAAGGATTAATAGATCTGAAGCTTTGGGCCACTCGGAGCCTTCCTTGATGCTGCCAGAATCTCCTCATTTAGATTTTTTGTCTTAAACCATTGGAAGCAAAACGGCTTTCCCGTGACACTCTGGTCTTGGACAGGTTCTGTTGTCCTCGACATGTCTCTTTAAAAAGTGGTAAAAGCCTGAAATTCAGGGCAGATCTCCATAAGGTGCTGAAGGGACTCTTTTCGTAGGAAGCTAAGGCACGGCTGCCTGCCCCAGGTGTCCTGCTCCTCTCAGAGTCCTCCCGGCACCAGGTAATCTGTAGCTCCGTTTCAGAATGTTAACCTCCAGTGAAGAGCTCATGACTGGTTAGAAGACTGACAAACTAACCAAAATTTTACACACTCCAGTTATGTGTGTTAAAAGTTATAAAAGGAATGGCCAGGCGCGGTGGCTCACCCCTGTAATCCCAGCACTTTGGGAGGCCAAGGCGGTTGGATCACCTGAAGCCAGGAGTTTGAGACCAGCCTGGCCAACATGGAGAAACCCTGTCTCTAAAAATACAAAAAATTAGCCAGGCGTGGTGGCGCACACCTGTAATCCCAGCTACTC